TCCCTGCTATTCCTCCTCCTCCCCTCATCCCTCGAGCTTCTCCCCTTCTCCCCTTTTCCCTTCTCTTCCCCTCCTCCTTCCCTCCCTCCTTCTCCCCTCCTCCTCCTCTCCGCCCCTCGTACTCCCCCCTCCCCCTCTTCCTCCGTGCGCGTTGCATCATGGGACGTTTCCTATAATGCACCGCGCGGTAACGCCGACGGCGACGCCGCTCAAACCGGAAACGGGCGCCTAAGAGCTGCGTTCTAAAAAAAATTTAAGGGTATACTACTCAGTTTGGGAAGCGCTGGCTTTCACACTAACCAGGAAACGCACGTAAAAAAATGAAATAAAAACGGACTATTAGACATCTATCCCACAATTCATTCAGCTATCCATGCATCCACAGCCGTACACAGCAAGCAACACAGTCACGTACGCGCGTACTTACGATACCGATGCGACTTTGGTTATGCCTGGTTTCGTCCACGCTTAATAATGAGCGGCGACGGAGATAGCGGCATCCGCGCCCCTCCACCCACTTCAAAAAAAAAAAAAAAAAAAAGTATATAGGAAAGTATAAAACAGGATGGATCTGCAAAAGTACTAACTTTAGGTAATCATTTCCCTTTCTGCAAGGCAGGTGATATGCACTCCGCCGCTGGAAAATGCGGATTAGAAAAACATGCATTTAGCAAAAAACAAAAAAACAACAAAAAAAAAACAACATAACTTTCTCTAAGTTAGCTTTGATTTTTTGGGGGGCCTCCATATTGTTGGGCATTGCTATTGTGTTCATACACAGGCAGAAGTGGTAATCGTTACCAACCATCTCTACTCATCAATTGCTCTTGGGTGGCTTATGCGTTCTGCAATGTCTCATGTCTTCATTTTTTGCTCGTTTGAAAGTCAATGTTTGAAAGTCAGTAAGCGTGACCTCAAGCTAGCTCGAGCAAGTATTGACTTTGAGACTTTGCGTAATGTGTTACCCTTCGTCTTTCCCCCAGTCTCGGGGCTCTGTCTTAAAATATGTTAAGCCTTCACCAGTTCGTTTGAGCCCTAACTTTTTGTTCGTTATTGAAAACGTTTGTTTCGGTTTCACTCCCTTGGCGGCGTCACTGGAACGATGGGGATGTCACAAGTAATTTCTGTCTTTATTAGTACATTATTTATTATGTCATATTATCTATTAGGAGCGATCGGGAATGCAAAAAGATAATTTTAGAGCGCAGCTCTTTGGCGCCCGTTTCCGGGTTTCGCGGCGTCGGCGTCGCCGTCAGCGTCAGCGTAACAGCGCTAAATTTAGCGGGAAAATTGACGTCACGTGAACTTTAACGAAATTTGAAGTATACCCGTCGTTTAAAGAATAGGTTGAATATCATCTACAATATTTGTAAATGGCAATCGCACGTTTGTATTTTGAGCTTGATGGCTGTAGTTTTCGTTATAAACGGTCCACTATGGCAAGCTCTCGGAGAGCAGCCAGCAGATAGCACGTGACATCCGACGCAATCGTGACGTAGTTCGTCTCGGGACGAGCAAAGCTGCGGCGAGGCTGACGTTGTGAGAATGCCCAAGTCGTTCCATCCACCGAAGCGGCTGCTTTTGTACAAATTTTGAGTTACGGGCTAATCTTCTCTAATCTTGTAGAGGAACAATAGCGACTTCTGGGACACACAAAAGAGACTCTCGGGGAGAGGGGAATTCCTCCTTCAGCTCCTCCCTCGTCGTGGCCGGAGGCGAGACAAGCATCGTTACTACCTGTCAAGGTTCCTAGACGGGCATTACGAACGAGGCGTTAGCGACATCCACCAGGTGCTCTTTGCTAATCGTTTAATTCGTTTTAAAATTCCCTTTCGTGTCTTTTTTGACAAGATATTGGTGCGTCCGATCTGTTTTTCGCGCTGTTTCCTACGATGAATTCCCACCAATGCGCCCAACTATCCATTCTTCTATTATAGCTGGAAAGGTTGCCGCCATCTACGAGCGACGGCGAAAACCAGGCGCCTGAAGGCCAGACAAAACACAAACATATCTATACACGTTTGCAAGTCCGGTCTCTGGGGGCCGCCATCTTGCCCAGTGGGGTGCGCTTGGGAGCGGCCACCATCCGACTATGACGCCTTAGCAAGGCTTCGTAAACGGATTAGGACGTGTCCAAGCACACCCCAGCGAGCAAGATGGAAGCGCCCTGAAGCCGGACTTGCAAACGTGTATAGAGCAGTGTCTGCTCTGTTCCATGGGCGTCGCCATGTTTGTTTACGCTGACGCAATGACACAGTAAAAAAAGAGGGGGGGGGGGGAGGGCAGGGCTTTTTGCGAGACTGTTTTTTTTAGAAACCTTCGGACATATCGCAGTGCAATAACGTCGGAAAGACATAGTCACGAAGCTCCAAGAACAACACCAATGCCAAGAGTGCTGTAATGATCAAAAACCTTGTTCTATGCGCAGCCTTTCTCTTCACAAAAGCCTGGGTTTGAGAATATTATTTCTCATTCTTTCGCTGGGGGCTAGGATTTCGGACACTGGTCTATAGGCAGCCTGCAGTGCTCTTTGGTTTTGCGCTATCTAGCGACTGAAGCAAAAAACATTCGGTATGCCTGGGAGTGGCAGCTGCATTATTCAAACGTGAGCTATTACTTTGGTAAGCAAGAAATACTGGGTAGGCCAGAAAGCCATGATTGCATAACATGCAAGTACGGCGGAAGCTGCGGCCTGGCGGACCAATCGGAGCGTGACTACGTATCACCGGAGTGCGCTTTTACTAAGAAGGCTCGACGCGCGTGGAGCGAAAGCTCGCGCTGCAGAACCCAGGGATCCTGGGTTCGAGCCCCACCCCTGCCCGTTTCGATCTAGGTGAGCATCGTACCGGCGTGCGGTCGTGTATCACTACTGCGTGGTGCACGTTAAAGACCCCAGGCTAGCGGTTGTACTGCACTGGCTAAATTGCTCATCTACAGCGAGTGACTCGTCGCAACTTTAAATGGCTGATCAACTACGCGCTGTATAAATATCCCCATAACCCAATTTGCGTTTTTGCTTCGAAGAAGTATCAGGCTTTCCGCTGCGTCATGGTCCAATATCTGTGCGTTGCGCTCGTATACGTAGCGGGTATCGAAGCCGTCGGCACTCAATGGGGAACTTCTCGTTCACCTTTTGCCAAGGTACACTGAGGCAGAGTATATAACCTTGGGCTCCCACTCTACTGGCGCCGCCTGGCTGTTACCGGCAGGCTATACTGCCACAAAAAATTAATCAAAAATTCAACGCTGAAAGATTAGAGCAAAAATTAGGAAATCAGAGGGGGGGGGGGGGCGCTTTCAACCCCCCCCCTTCCCCCCCCGGCTATGCCACTGGTCGTGGCAGTCCCCGGGAGACGAGCGAAGCACAGACCGACAAGCTACGTTTTAGAAAAGTTACTTGCCATTTTTCACTTTTGACATCAGTCAGTTATTTGGCTAAATCAGTCATTCAAGTGAAATACAAGAACGGTATATTATGCGATCTTCAGAAAAAAATGGAATACAGGCTGTTATGTGACCAAGAAGGTCGTTTACAAATAATGAGAAAAAGCAGCTGCGCAAGAACTCTGCCCTGGTGGACACGGACGATGAAGGAAACCAGGAAGTCGAGCAATTGTTAGTTACAGAGTACTGAGCGCGATTCGTTAAAATTTGACTAATCCACAAAGTCACTAATGCATAAGTATGGGGTTGATTTAGTTGAAGCACAACTAACCTATGGGAAACCTTATCAAATGTCAATAAATAAGATGTCTATTTGAATGTTGCCATCGATGTTACGTATAATTCATGAACGAGTTGCACCAACTCTGCTTAGCAAGAGAATGATGATCGAAACCTATAATGCTTTTGAAAAAAAGTAAGTCGTTATTTTTTATATGCTTTATGATATTTGAAATATCATGTGCTCTCGTAATTTCCATGCGACACCGGTTACAGAAATGGGTCGATAGTAAGATGGTGAAGTTTAATCACCTGATTTGAGATAGGAATTACTACCAATTTTTTTTTTGTCTGTAGAAAACTCACCAGAAAAATATTGCTGAAATATATTCAATAACTAACTAGCCGAATTTTAACTGTCTTTTTTTAGTTTTTTTAATTATTTTGTTATCACTAGAACTGCACAATAGCTGTCCGTCCCCCTTTACTATGTATCGTCTTAATGTTTAAATAGCTGTAGCCTTTCTATTGATTCGATACTACTAGAACAAGTTATTCCAACAGCCTCTACGGGGGGTGATATAAGTCGTTAAGATGTAGGATGTTAGTGTGGTCATCTGCTGTGAAGGTTGAGCTAAAATAATGATTCGGTCTGTTGGCGCTTTTTTCGCCCGACAATGGTAAGCGATCATCACATACAGGTTGAACAGGCTTAGACGTGTTTGGATTAATTGCCTCCGACGTTACATTTATTGCATCAAATTGATGCAAGGAAGGTAGATACGACAGAGAGGGGTCTGGAGGTATTACGAAAGTCCCGTATGTCATTGTCTCCTTCACGAAATCAAACTTTCAAGCTCAAAAACGGCCGAAATAAAAACCGAAACTGAAACTGCCAGCATTCATGCCGCCGCATCTCTCTCTTTTTTTTTTTTTTTGTTTGTGCGCTTTTGTTGAATGTAAGCTACCAGACTCCCAGGTACGGCGATTTATTCTTGCTTTGGTGTAAGAGTTCATTCTCCGTCAACAGTGTGATCATCTCAGAGCGGCTCTTCGGAAATTTCAAGCAATCCTCTCCAACCACCAAGCTTACTTATTTGTTTCTGATCTTGCAACAGAACTCACATATGAATACGAATATTTTCTATCTACAAGCGGGGCATTCTTTTTAATTAGAGGTAAACGTGAAATCACCCGACGCACTACTTGGTTGAGTAGTCCAAACCGAAACTCAGTACTCTAGTGCTCTTGCGATGAGCATTAGCGAAGGCGCTATCGACGACGCGCTACTTTAAATGCCCAAGACAATCCAATCCCATCCAATCCCAAACCTTCTTGTTTTTTCTTCCTTTAGTTGTTGCTTGGTTTGCTTGCTGCTCCGTATCCTTGCTTCCATGTGATAGCTGCTTGAAGACCCAACTCTGTCGGTAACGGATGCGTGCCTTGTCTCTTTGTTGCTGCTCGCGTTATTGATACGACCTTGCTGCCTGATAGTGAACGCGGTACGGGCGCTGCCGCCGAGGGATGCGTGACGTCTTCGGCTACGTTCGCGACGTCCACCACGCCAGGCGAGTCGGATAAGTCTCGGCGTAGCAGTCTGCACTGCTGCAACACTCAAGCGATCCGACCACTGTCTGTTGTTTTCACGACCTAATTGGTCACTATCTTAAGTGATTATCTCTTGTGTCCCGAAGTGGGCTGCACGTTGCGTTCGCGTGCCAAACGCGTGTTTTTAACGGCTTTTTCTGTGTGCGCAGAAATTCCAAATCGAAGAACGATGTTAAGCACATTAGAAAGGAAGGATACAGAACGAGCGGGATCCGAGAAAAATCAACGCAACCCAAAAGCTGACGTGCAGGGAGACATGATGTCAGGTATGTACTGTTTGTTTACTGGGAAGTAGTCCTCTTGCCCGTCCATAGCATGTCTTGCTCTGGAGCTTTAATCGTCGGTGATCAACTCAGCAGGCTTCTACACCGGGTATGTCATGACTTTACTCACATCTTGCTTCGTCTTCGATGTTTTGCCTTTTCAGTGCATCGCTTGCACTGTCGTTCTTTAATCCCCTGACGGCTTTTTCTGCTGACAGCACATTTTCTAGCATTATTATGTCCCATCAGAAAACGTGCTCGCTTTGCATTGTTTTTGCAAGCCTCGCAGAGTTTCGCTGGGAACCAGCACAAATCTGGAAGCCTGCTGACATGATTGAGCCGGCAGACAGTCGTGAATTTCGAGGGCGTTTTCAGTGTCTGTATCTGGCAAGGGCTGGAGCTATCTAGGGAACACACCACCCTCTTTATGTTTTGTAGGAGAACTTCAGGCTGCTGATATCGTCGAGATTCTGAAGAAGCGGCTGGCTTTCATGGCGGGTAAGTCTTTTCTCCTTTTAAATGGAGCTTAATTACCAGAATGCAGATCCCCCAGCCTGGCACGTAGCTAGGATTTTGTTTCAGAGGGGGCCCGCCCATGACAAAATGCTGTATGAGGGGGAGAGGAGGTCCCACCAAAATGGAAGATTTTTGGGGGAGGCGAGTCCACAGTATACAATGCAGGCTCTATGAATGTTCTTTTTTGTAAACATTTCTTCACATTCACACAGTATCACGAAGAAGGAGTTGTCATGCTCAATAGTCGTCACCGTCCTGATAGATGCGTCGTTACGCCTAAGCGCACATACAACTTCCTCAATTAACAGGCGGCGAAGACAAGAAAGGCAACGCGCTCATCTCCGTTCCTCCACCCTGCGACGACTTTATGCTTCAGGACTTCAAGGACACGCTGACTTACCTGATGACCCTCACCCAGTAAGCCGACCCACCATTGTTCACTTCTTTGCTAGACCCTTAAATACTCTGCAACGCCGTTGGCACAGGCAGAACATGGGCACTTTTTTGCCTTTTAATTTGAAAGGGTACCTGAATTTTCCTCAAATGTGTGCTTTCTGCCACACTAGTAGTTTCTGTGAAAGACCCTTGAATCTAAGGAAAGAGAAAAAGAAATGGCTATCACTGGTTTGTGTGAACAGTGTCGCGACATGTACCTGTGTTTAATTGCTCTTGTATCTTGTCAGAGTTGTGGACAGCAGCGCTGTCTCTCTTTTTGATTGCTATTCACAACTTGAATGATCTGCATTTTGATCTCTGATTAACATATTAACATCTGGACTGCATCATAATAATGTTTCGTGTATGTTTATACAGCCGGAAGTTAGTCTGCCTCAATGGGCGACTTGTCTCTCAGCTGTAGATGAGCAATTCAGCCAGTGCAGTTCAACCTCTAGCTTGGGTCCGCTAGTCATTAAAAGGACACTGACAGGGTATTTATGCTCGCCAAGGTTCTTGTTTGTACAAAACATATGAGAGCCCAACTACCCAGAAAACTGTTCACGGCTCAAAATTAATTTTCTGCCCGAAAACTGCCGATCCAGAACTGGCCGGTTTGAGTCGCGCTCACTCTCTTCTTCGTGGTCACGTGCCGTTTTCTATGGTTAAGACACAACCACCAAATATAATCAAAGTCGTGGGTCATCGAAGGCTCACACACAATATTAAAAGTAGAAGAGAAATATGATACCCATCCCTTGTGGCTTCTAGAAAGCTGCAAATACGTCGATAGGAAGTAAAAAAAAAGCTGCACAGCCATGTGACTTTTGCCAACTCTCTCCTCCTCTATATTTCTTCTTCCTCCCCAGTCCAGTTTTCGTTTCGAGCATTTGCGTTTTTTGACTTTATTAAAAATATATGTGACGCTGTAGCCAAATATTGATTGGGTAGTCTTCTGAGACCATAATAAAGTGCCTGGCAAAATATAAAAAATAAATTGTGGGGGTGTCAGTGTCTCTTTCATGTGCACCACGCTGTAGTGATACACGACTGCACGCCGGTATGATGGTCATCCAGATAGACACGGGCAGGGGGTGGAGATTGAACCCAGGATCCGTGGGTTCTGCGGTGTAAGCTTTAGGGCCTCGTGCTCTGAGCTGGTGTGCACCAGCCCACTCGGCCACTGATCCCCCCTGCAAGGCTGCATTGGTTCGAGCTATGCGTTACAATAAATGCAGTCCTCTTATTTTCCCGAGTCTCATGTTTCTCGCCCCACGCTGCTATTTCACTTAGTGTTTTGAAGAACGTCTTTGTACCCTTGGGCTTTTGGGCCATCATCATATTTGGTATGACTCATTCTGCCGATAATGGGGTTTCAGGTTGCTGGAATTTGTCTTTTATTGAATTTTAGCAGTCTTTCTTTTTTCACTCATTTCTTACGACAAATCTAGGTAATAGGAGATTGTGACTTTGCTAAAATTCAAAGCTTAATATTTGTAGAGAAGAAAGCATATTTTTGTAATTGTATGCACAACACACAGGAAAATTATTCTAATTGAGATTTCCACAGCTTATCGCAGTGCCAACACATCTGTTTGATTGGGTAGCCTTTGGACTACCAAATTAAGCTGAAAACGTTTGCACTTTGTTTTTTAAAAATATTTATTAGGCTACCAAGGGTAGCTAATTGGGTACCTTTCAGACAAACTTGAGCTGACGCAAACTTTACTGCAGGCACCTTTCATTATTTTTTTAATTACTTGGAACCCGGCATATGTATGACCAAGGCCAGTTGAGTTGATTGGATTCAAATCTTATTACGAGCATCGATAGCATTCGGCTAGTTTTTGTAATCTGTCTTGGCTACCGAAATAATGATGCACTGAACATGCTTGCTTCGTGTGTTTCAGTGATGATGATCGGGGTGTAACGGTCGTTATCCAGGGTGACAGTTCCTGGGGAGATAGGCTGAAGCCGATAATGGGCATTAATCAGGTTTGTGTTCCAGCTTTTTATTTGTTTTTTATGGAAGATGAACCACTTGTCCGACAGTGGTGCCAAGAACTGTTTTTGTGTCAGGGACCACCAGAATCATAAATTAGGTTGTATAGGACTTTTTTGATGAATTTATAATTTTTTACGTTCCTGGGTTGGGAATAGATTTTATTTGTTGCTGGTGGAACCTATACAATGACCAATCTATTTCTCAGACAGGATATCTAAATTTTTTTGTATACTCTGGTATGCAGCTTCACATTTCTTTCGTACAAATGCTGTCCCACTAGTTACCTACTGCCTTCGGGAGCATTAGAGTATACAAACATTTTTTTTTACATACAGACTTATGGCCATAGATTTTTTAATGATCAGTTTCCGGTTTAAAAGATTTTGCTGTTTTGCACGGGATACTCTCTGAAGTTTTGTCTCAGAGAAGCGAGACTTCCGTCATTTCCTTCTCCTCCCCCTTTCCCACTCGTGGAACCAAACTGCCTCGGTTAATGCCCTTCTTTGATGCATGACTGACGTTACTGTCCCAATATTAAGGTGTGTTTTTCTGGGGCTGTTTACCCTTTTCAAGTTGTAATTAAATTAGCCATTTCTGCTGATCGTGCATTCCCACTTATTTCATTCCATTTATTCTAGGAGCTATAATTCTGCACAGCAACCTTCATATACTTGTCTAAAAGTAGCTCTTATACTACATAGTGTGTTTTCTCTTGCCTCTTTTAATCGAGGAAATTCTGATCTGTGGCACTTAGTGTGCATCTGAGCTCCCTCCAATGCAGAACACGCACCAGCTCTGTGCTTTGGAGCTGAATAATGATGTCAGTGTCATGCATGGCTGTTTGGTGGATCTGAATTATGATGTCAGTGCCATGCATAGCTGTTCAGGCTACACTTTCAGTGCCGTCCGGCTTTGGTTTATGAATATTCCTTTCTGATACCGACTGGTTCGGTTTTCCGATTCACAACAAGTGAACTTCTGGCCTTGAGTCTCACCCTACGGTGTTATCCACGGCTTTACTTCTTAGACCATATCACGCCGTTTTCATGCCACCTCGCCTAAAAGGGACCGTTGGCCGTCTTTGCAGTGGCACTCTCCCGGTCTTTCCGATAGTGTGTCAATGGCGGCTCCGAAGTGGCTCCTGTGTACTTCCCGACTGGAGTGCTGTTCCTTATCAGTTGTCGGTTGTGCCGTCCATGCAGGACGTCTTGGGGCGCAGGCTTTGCTGCACGTTGGTGCTCCGTCCACACAAGCCCAAGGACTCAAAACCGTCTCTTCGGGACAAGCAGGCATCCACGCAGGTGAGGAGGGTGCTGTGCGCAACTTGTTTGCTCTTTGTTCTTGGCTGAGCAATAGAAGCCGTCTGAGTGGGTAGCAGAACAAATAAAATGCATTTCAACCTTGTTTGCTTGTGGAATCGTACAATTGTAGAAAACCATCCAAACGAGACTAAATAAAAGCTATACACCTTTCCAAAAAACACTCCTAGGCCGCCGCCATGTTGCTGATGCGACTGGTGCGACTCTCGCGCCCTCTATCAGCTAGGAATTTTCTGCCACTCTCTTGGACTGTGAGTACCCGTTCAGCGCGATTCTCTGTGTTGTGCGGTTTTGCATTCAGCATTTTCTGGCCCCTCTTGAAAGTTTCCACTTAATTTTTTTTTGTGCGAGCTGCATACACTTTCTGTGTTACCTTCAACCGTGGAAATTAGGGCTGGTAAGTGCCTGCCATTCAAGCTTTTTTGCTCAACATTCACCGGAAACGAAGGTGCGGAAGACGTCGAGTGGCCCTCGACGCGATTATGCGAACGGTGACAATTGTTCTCCCCCTTCCCAGAGATAATCCGCATAAAGTCCTTCTCACTCATCTCCAAAAATAGTTGTCCAGGTTGGGGTGGGAAACGGGTCAGTCGTGTTCGTTACGTTGCCTCGGTGATATTGTGAAAAAAAGAAGCTCTCCCCAAAACGTGCCCCAAAACGAAATCACCTTGGATTCCGTCCGATCGTCAAGATGTGACTGTCGTCGACTGTGATTGTCGTCGACTGTGACTGTCGTCGACTGTGACTGTCGTCAACTGTGACTGTTGGCGACTGTGACTGTCGTCGACTGTGACTGTGTTATTTGAGATCTTTCTCAAATAAATTCTTTTCAGATAGCACTGCATCGTGTGGTATGTACAATATATTGTTCGAAAGTTGACATTTGCTAAACTGTATGTCTGTGTCCTTTCCATCAGTAAACACGTTATCTGTGAGCGTGAAAACTGCATGCCTTTCGGCTATCTTTGTTAACCATGTTGATAAACCTGAAACTGGGGCAGAAATGAACATATAAGTGGAAGGAACAGAAAAGGACAGGATGACGCTTCACCGGCTTGCTTGCACCCTTACTGTATTATCTTTATTTTCTGTTGTAAATTATTTTCGACAGCTAAGCGCTTTGTCAATTGACACGCGGCTAATCAAGCAACGCCGTCAAACCTTATTGTAAAAAATAAAATAAAATTACAACTAACATTTTAGTTGCATTCGTTCTGTCGTGCGCGTACCCAACAAAAGTAGTTTGCAGGTTTTTTATTGTTTCTTTCAAATGTGGTACAATGCTTTCTTAATGTCCTCGGGAAAATACATGCACCATGAAACACAACATACAGCGGGAAAAGACGAGAATCTAGCCGCCTGCAGTGTATGAAACTGTGCATGCGCAGGCTGCACCTATCGAAATCACAGCCCACTCGGTTAGGGTTAGCAGGGACGCTAATGATAGTCTAGCCTCAAACTCAGTCACTGGGCTTCAAAGCGGTTTGCAGCCCCTGGGGTCAAGGGTTTCTTGGAAAGGTTTATACCGTATGACGTTTCTTGTCTCGCTCATATCAGTGGGAGGCTCCAACGTTTTGTACATGGCCGTTGAATACTGACTTAGAGTAACCAAGAAAAGCAAATTTTTTAGTTGGGCAATTAGTTTTCAGAATAGGCACTTTATATTTGTAAAACTTGGATGAGGAATCAGTTTTAGAGTGCAGCTCTTAGGCGCTCATTTTAGGGTTGAGTGACGTCGCTGTCGGTGCAGCCGTGGTAAATTGAGTGGGAAAAATGATGTCATGTGAGTAACATCAATCCAATTCCCTACTGAATTTAGCGGGGAAAAGTGACATCACGTCACCTCAACACCAATCCAATTCCCCGCTAAATTTAGCGGGAAAAGTGACATAACGTAACCTCAACACCAATCCAATTCCCCGTTAAATTTAGTGGGAAAAGTGACGTAGTGACCTCAACGCCAATCCGATTCCCCGTTAAATTTAGCGGGGAAAAGTGACGCCACGTGACCTCAACACCAATCCAATTCCCTACTAAATTTGGCGGGGAATATGACATCACATGACTTGGTGCCAGGTCACTTATGAACAAATTCATTTTCTCTGCTAGATTTAGTAGAAAAATTGACATCATGTGACCTTAACCAGAATTCAATTTCCCTCTAAATTTAGGGAGAAAATTGACGTCGCATAAGTTCAGCATCATTTCAGTTTCCCCTCTAAATTTAACAGGAAAAGAATGTCAATGACTCGGTGTCACGTCACCTATGACCAAATTCGGTCTTTCCGCTATATTTTGCGGAAAAATTAACGTCCTGTGACCTCAACAGCAATTCAATTCTCCTCTAAATTTAGCGGCAAATTTGGCGTCGCAGAACCTCGACACCAATTCAGTTTCCCTACTAAATTTAGCGGGGAAAATAACGTCACATGACTTCACGTCACCTATGAATGAATTCAGTTTCTCCGCTAGATTTAGTGGGAAAATTGGCGTTGCAAGCAAAGGAGGAGGAAGATGGGAGAGGAGGAGGAGGAAAGGAGGGGAGGACGAGGAACAGAGGAGGACGAGGATCATACCCTTCCCTCCTGCTCAAGAACTGTGCTCTAATTCCGCATTACAGAGATTTGTAAACGTCTTTAATATTTTGTTTATGCACATTAGCTTTTGCAAAATGGGTATTACAGCGGAGCTGCTAAGGGCTAGGTTCCCCAGGATCGTGTCCGTGTATGTCGACACAAACCTACCTGGACAACTACCGCCATCTATAAGCGACGGCGGCCAACACACAACCAGTATGGTTTCCGCCATTGCTCGTAGATGGCGGCAACCTTTCCAGCTATAATAGAATGGATAGTTTGGCGCGTTGGTGGGAATTCATCGTAGGAAGCAGGGCGAAAAACAGACGACGAAGAAGAAGCATACAGTGTATAGAGTACAGCTCTGCTGGTGGAAAGGCTAAACGTTTTTTATGAAGCTCGCATTTCTTTTTCTCGCCTGAATGGCCTCTCCCCTTAGCAAAACAAACTAGACAAAGATCATCCCTTTGCAGCAGATAATCCATTTATAGTCAGGTACAGAGGAGGTTAGATGCAGAAAGGCCATAAGCCCCACAAGTACCAATGTTGCCTGCAGTCTTCCATTAAGGCCCGTTCACACTCTTGCGACCGACTTCGACCGAGAGAGACCAGACCGGTTTTTAAGCCTTTTGCGACTTCTTAGGACAGAATGCGATGAAGTGGAGCTGGTCCTAAGAAGTCGCAAGAGGCTTAAAAACTGGTCTCGTCTCTCTCGGTCTAACTCGGTCGCAAGAGTGTGAACGGGCCTTTAAGCGGCATTGATTTTCTCAGAAACACCGAAACATTGTCCATGACATGAAAATCAGGAGTGAAAGAGGCGATAGAAGGCTGATCAAGCCTCAGTCCACAATGATTATCTCTCAAACTAATGATGGTGGGTCCTTGCTCATATTAAACTTTTTTACACCTTTGTGCTGTGATCAAACCTGAATTTTCAGCATAACAAAGTGTGTGCACTTGTTCAGTATGGGGCCTAATGTTTAGTCAGGTATGTGGGAAACTATTTTTACGGTTCACCTCATTGCAGTATTTTTACCTCTCCAGTACAGTGGAGTTGGGCTGAAATATTTGTAGCCATTTTCTTTGCACATTTTTACCCCGAAAATTACGCTCCGAAATTCTGAGCCTGAACTCGTGTTAGTGTCCACACTTTGCTTTCTCTCAACTTCATACTTGGCTATGAAGTCTGGATAAATTTGACTGGACTTTTAGTAGGCTGCTCTTTGGCACCTTACGGTTGGTTGATCTTCTTTCTTCCAAAGGAACAGTTCTTTCAAGAGCTTTGTTGCATTCGACAGTTCCATCATTCTGTCGAAATTTTTAACCTTTTCAAAAGCGCTCGCCATCTACCGTATTTACTCGATTCTAAGCACCCCTCATTTTTTTTTTCAAATCCGCTATATACTTCACGAGAGGGCAGTGGTTAGCTTCGAAGTACACTAAATGTTACAAAATTTAAGCAAAGAAATATTGCTTAATTTTAAGTGAAATGAAAGGTGAAATAGAACATGGAAGGTAAAACAAATATGGGAAACTGTCACTCTACTTGCCGGCACAGCGGACAGCACACCATGCGACACGCTTTACTCAATCGCTTTCACCTGATGACAAGTCCTCGGTGCATCCGTCCGAGCTGCTGCTGCTTCGGTTGCTGTCTTTGTCCCACAAGAGGTTGTCCTCAGATTTGTCGAGACTGTTCATTATACAAGACTTCTTGAATGACTTGTCCAAGACGTCGGCCCCAGACTCTGTTCCACCCGTCCGAAATCTAGGTCGTGACGGTTAATAGGGAGGCTTTCTGCAGCCTCCCTGTCAGTCTTCTTGCGGTTGAGGCTCTGGATCCAATCCTCATACTCTTGATGCAGATCATCTTTGAATGGCTCATTTGCCAGGACGTCCAGGGGCTAAAGTACCGAGGTCATCCCGCCTGGCACGACCACCAGGTCGCAGCCGCTGATTCGAAGCTCTGCCTTCACCTCCGGGGTGAAGCGGCCGCGGAAAGTGTCTAGCACAAACATACAGTGCACGCCGTCGGGTCCGCCAAGCGATGCCCTGGGGTGATGTCGCCACACAACATATGATCCGATTCAGCATAAGCTGCCTCGTCGTCCAGCCTTTCTCTTGGAGAAGCCCCCCGGAAAAGCCTCATTTTTGGGCATATTTTTCCGCTTTAGAATAACATTTGGCGGGAGCTTTCGGGTGTCTGCCGTTATGCATAACATAAACATCACGCGCTGCTTCTTGTATCCCGTGGTCCGGATTTTGATCTCTTGCACACCTACTTCATTGACGGTTGACATCCTTGGCATGTCACTGAAGACTGGCGTCTCATTTGTGTTGCCAATCTGGCCAAGGCCGTAGCAGCGTTCCCTGTGCAGCTTCATCGTGTACTGCTGAAAACTGGTCAGCTTATGTTCAAAGTCACCCGGCAACTTTTAACATATCGTTGTGCGGCGTCTTGACAAAAATTAATTTCCCTTTATCATCCGTTCTACCCAGCCACGACTGACACAGGACACTTTACGAGACACCTGCTTTTGTGTCGCAAACTTCATCGCTTTCACTGGATGGCATCAGCTGGCTACGTGGTCCCATGGTCTTCTTACGGGTTGCAGCTTTCTGGAAAAATCTGCTCCCACTGCTTTCTTCATCGAATTAGCCAGGACCTGTCCACGCTGAAGCTCTCAGCAGCGCTCCGATTTCCATTCTTCTCCGCAGATGAGATCACTGTACTCTTGAACTTGAACGTATAGGACGTTCTCTTCGTACAAATGCTGACGCGAGGTTAATCAAGGACTGATCAAAAGCCGCCAAAACGAAAGATGCAGTCGACGCTCTTCTAGAAGAAAAAGAGAAAGAACAAGAAACACTCGCGAGCATGCGGTTCTTGTGTTGCCATCGATCCAGTCACGTAGAAACTTGTTTCCATCAATCAACATCGCCAATAGCTCGGTGATCGCAGTCTCTCCTTCCGCTGAGGAACAGCAGTGTGCCGCGCTCAGGTTTTGAATTGCTCTCAAAAAAGGAATGCTTACATTTGCGTGCAAACTTTTATTTTACCGTTCTGACTGAATAATTGGGGAGGGGCTTAGAATCGTATAAATACATAGCCGCCGAGCCAATTATACGAGTCTGCCACACGCACTTTGACCATGTACTGGACACGAGGGCTGCATCATTGTCCCGCTTGAACTCAGCTCTCATCGAAAGCAAGTACTGCGTCAGCATTTCGCAAGAACTCAGATCCAATCACTAGCTTCGTGCCCAAGAAACTGTGACCGCCTATGTTGCACGATGGGGTTCCGGGGCATCATCTAGTCCGAGTGTGGTATGATTGGTGGAGGTTCTAAAAATGGCATCCTCTCTGTGACATTAGGTGAAATATGTCAGCCAGGCCAAGCTGTTCAAGTTGATCAGTCCCCTTCAGTTGACACCCGAGTTTGGCGGCACCCTGCAGTACGACCATTATGACTGGCTGAGCAGACAACTGGTGAGTAACTATAGTTTGTTCTGCTTCTGCATGTGTTCTGCACATGGGTTACTTAAATGTGTCTGCAGTCACACCTTCCAGACATAGGCATTCCTGCTGGACACAAGACTTCCAACCTAGAATGTCGTTCAGGATCTAGAAAGGGACTTACTTATGCATAAAATTTGAGAGTGACTTACGTCTACCTTTACTGGGTTAGGATTTAATGAAAGCGAGTTCTAGAACCCTTAATTTTTATTTGATTGAATTGTCACAGATGCGCTTAGCTGGCGACAAGCTTCACTGCGCACGTCATTGGGATTTGTTGTGTCGAATTTGCATAGTGTGCTTCAAGAGAGTCGGTTGTTGCAGACAAAAGAATGTTCAGCCATAACAACCGGTACCAAACTTTTTGTTACGCTAAAAAGCTTACCGCCATGTAACAGTTTTCATACTAAGCCCGAGCTAAAAGACTTGCTCGAAACAGCAACCACCAGACGTATCCTTTCAAATGCCAGCTTGGCTCAAGCGTCCTTCCCCAGTTTGCACTCGTCAAATCTTCTTCAAATCGACCCTCCTTGCATCTTGTAACATTAACTGACTGCATCGCCGCTCTCCTACATTGATTTCTTGCACCCATACACGCATGTGATTCGGCTGCGCCTGTCAAGGTTCGTGGACTAATTTTCTGGCCTTGTTTTGCAGGCAGTGGAGAAGTACATCAAGGAGGTGAAGCTGCTGTCGAAGCACACGGATGTGGCCCTCGGATTCTGCCGTTTCCAGGCCTCCCCCGGGTCTCCAGATGTGCCCTGCCAGATCGGCCCGGCCATGGGCGAGGTCATCGCTCGCACGGTGCAGAGCGGTACGCCTGCTCTCACTTGTCCCTTTCCTGCTGACTTGCTGATGATTACAGGACGTGCATTCGAGCTAAATGAATCAGCTGCATGCACTTGTGTCATCTTGTATTTTTGCTTGCATTGAAGCAGTGCATTTGGGATAAGCAGTTTTTACAGGCAACCAAGTATAATCTCACTCTGCATAATAGGTTCGCCCATCCTTGCCCATCAAAGCATAAAAAAACCAGTACAGTGTAAACCGCATGTAACGTATGTCGCGGGAGTCGCGAAAATCCAAACTATAAGCGGTACCGCACTATAACCTAAACATCAATTTTTCAGGCCAAAATACATGCCATAAGACAACTTACCTTTGTAAAAGAATTTATTTTATGTTAGATGCAAAATAAAGCTTAGTCTGATGAAACTCTTTATTTCACCAGACTAGTACAGTTCTGTCTCAAGTGTGTCACACATTTTGAAAGAAATGAGCGGCTTTTGCCTGGCGCAGCCTTTTAACGGCGTCGCAGGTTGCGGACGGACGTTGCGAGCGTTCAGTATTGCTAACCCTAATCACTTTTCTCCGGAGATGAAAACGCATGAAAATTCGCATCCTTCATACGGTACGTGCCAGTAATACCTTGAACTTGAGCACGCGCGTGAAGTGCGCCAAATAAGAAATCCGGGCGATGTTTGAGGACACAAATGCTTAGAAATCACCACTGTAGTCGAAGTAAACAAACACAACGACACGGGCGTTTCTGCCGTCTTGAGAGCACCGCCACGACATCGCCGCATGAGTAGGTGGATCTTCCCTTCTAGTACGTGCTGGGTTATCATAGCGACACAACGAAAATTCAGTCAAGGATAGCGCTTTTACGCAGAACGATGAGATGAACGCCGTCTACGACGACGATCACAACCGACGCCAAGTTTGCGGATAGAAGCAGCCGGCCCGCGACCGGCATGCAACTCGCGCGAACACTTCTCCTCGACCTGCGATTGGTCTGTCGTTGCTGTTGTTTGTTTCTTTGTTTGCAATGCAGCGGAGGGACGCACGCACGTGAACGACACGTGCGTGCGTCCCTCCGTAGAGCGTTCGTCACTCCGTTGCTATGGCAACTGAAGCCTCTCTCTTGGCTTCTTCCCGCTTCTTCGAGCAACCTCCTTGCCCCGCCAGTGCCGCTTGCGGCCAACTTGCGGCTCGCGCCGTCAGCGCCGTTATCTAGTGTCGCACAGGGAAGTGTGCTCGCTGCTCCGGTCGTCGGCGCGGTCGGCGGGCTGTGCCAGAAACCGCACTATAACCGGTATTTCCCTTCGCGCGCCTGCATTTTAAGCGGTATGTAATTACATGGAGTTCTATGGGAGGCGAACCGGTGGTTTAAAAAAACCGCGTTATACCCGGTCCTGCACTATAAGCGGTTACGTTGTAAGTGGTCTATACTGTAGAAGGTTATTCACATGTCGTCAGCACGACCGGTGGGTGAATCAGCTTATCGTACTCCATTAACAACTTTGGCTGAGTGAGAGGATTCCGGTGGAGGCCCGCTCTCAGCATGCTCCTGAATAACTCCTCAAAGGGGCCCTGAAATGACTTTTTGACTGGTATTTAATTTGCACCGAATCTGAGTGCACTGAACGTAGTAACTTAGTGAAATCTTTCTTTTCTCGAATTTCACTTTATTTTAAAAGTTATAGGCAAATTAAAATTATGAAAACAAGCAAAAAATAACCTTCTTCATGACGTCCCTGGTCCTGGCTTGGGTGGCCGTGAACTAGAGGAGGGATAGCGAGCTCAGCGAGCACTCGTGGCTGTTGCACTTGTGTCGACGGCTCAAGAGGGTGCCACTGAAGCATGTGTTGGCTGGGCTGTATGAAGCGGGCAGCCAGGGCCGCTCGCATTGCATTTCCTGCACGACTAAATGCTTATTCGGCATGACACTTCATTTGCCACAAACGACAGCAAACATCGGTTAAAGATCAGTTCAGAACGGAAGCCACTTCGCACTGCCAAACTGCCAGACAACCTAACCGCAAGCCAAACCTGCTCGCCGAAGGCCTTGGGAATGCTCGGAGCCGGTCGGATCCTCCAGCCCATTCGACTGCAGAGCCGCGTGTGCATCCGGGACCTTTCTATGCTCGCTGCTTCACAGCAATGTGTAGCGTGCGTCGGCGCCTGATCCCACTACCCCTTTCCAGCATGTGCTGCCTTTTCCACTGCTTGGGGGCGGGTATGTTGACGGGTCATTTCTTGTTTCCATACTTTATAAACTGCACTTGTTTCTTTTCTGGTCTAAAATACTGAAAAAAATGACCGCGTCTCCACGTGGTGAATGATGTTGATTGGGGTGAAGCTCTGGTGGTGCTGATAATACTGATTTTGCTCATAGGTAGTGCTGATGGTGCTGATTTTTTTTATTGCTCATAGGTAGTGCTGAGTTCCGGGTTGCGTTTTGACTTCATTATGCAGCTTTATGGTCGGTGAAAGGCAGAGCCAGTGGTTCTTCTAGCGGATCCATCCTGAAGTTCGCAAAGACTAGGTCTATGCACGCCAGCATCCCCAGCTCATGAGTTACTACCACATCTCAAAGCCCCCTACTCGTCCCGCAGTCGTGGCCGAGTGGTTAAGGCGATGGACTAGAAATCCATTGGGGTCTCCCCGCACAGGTTTGAATCCTGTCGACTGCGCAAACATTTTTTTATTTTTTAAGAAGGCAGATTGGATGGCAATCGATGTGAGCATGGACGCCGGATGGACAAGGCTAGACCCTAAGGAGCTTTGCCCCTAAAAACTACTTTCATAAATAATTGAAACGGTTCGCACCACTTATATTTTGTATTTTGACTAAAAAAAGGTTCGAGTATGCCTAAGCACTTCTGAGTTGTGAATGCGAAAGCATGCACGTCATTCTTTCGTCTGTGGCGTATCTGCAATGACGGCAGAGCGAGCCCTCCCCTCGCCGCTCTGACCTTGGATGCTTTGTTTTACCGGCGCGCTGATGGACACGCAGCGCCATGGGTGGCAGTTGTTGAAACTGACGCGCAGCTGCCAATACAAGCCTTGTTCCTTGAAACTACGACGCGCGCCAGCCATTGGGACAAGCCGAAATACATCAGCTTTTCTCCGCTCCTTTGGGATTGGGGAAACTAGGTGCCGTTGTCTAGGCTTTTCACGTGGTTTCATAGCTGGGGAGCTGGCTTCACTTGGAGAAAGGATTTAAGGTACCATTTGGCGCGGCTTCAAAGCTCATGACGTCGGCTTGCTTCATGGGACAGTTAATGCTTTCACATTAAAAAGCTTTTAGCGGCTCTGACTAGTCATAAGGCAAGAGCTGGCGAGCACCTACAACGTCACGATGTCGTCGCATGCCGTGCGTGTTCGGTACCACGGGGCGCCCCCTTAGTTGAAGGAGGCTTCCACGTCGCATACTTGCCAACTCTTCCGAATTTTTCGTAAAATGTACGAATTGGGACTAATTTTACGATTTTACGAATCTTGCTTCAAATCTTACGAAAATTTTTTTTGTAACTCCGTTGTGGCCAACGAGGTAGGTTGTGGCGATATCTTGCAGCGCCACAGGAGGGCGATAGGTACCGTCCACAACAGCGTAGTGGCTTTTACTATCCGTCTATCCGGTGGCCACGGATCGAAAACCAATCCAAAGCTCAAAGCCTATGTTCGTGTGTTCGGCGGTGCTCAGGTGCAGCGTTACACAGATGCACATGGGTTCGGCCTGTTCAGACGTTGTTGGGCCTCATTGTTTCGGCCAGTTTCGAGGCGAGAAGTACGGCATCTGTGTTTGTTGCACGTGTAACTGTAGCAGTCTCCTGATCACTGTGGCTTCGCGGCGCAATGCCGAACTCGAAACCTTAAAAGAGGTACTTTCAGGTGTTCCTGAAGTCCTACACGTCGAAATTTCCGTGCTTCGTGCCGCCCAAAAAGCGAGAGAATTTCGGATTGTGTAGCACGTGCACGTGTGATGTAAGCGTTTCGCACGCTGGCCGTGCTGACATTAAGCTGCACATCGCTTCGCGTAAACCCCCCCCCCCCCCCCCCCTCCCCTCCCCCGCCCCCGCCGCCGCCGTCGCCGCCGCAGCCGCGGGACTTTTACGAATTTGAAAGTCCACAGGTTGGCAGGTATGACGTCGCCCGGTTAAACTATGACGCACCGACATTTAGTTGCATTCTCTGTGCCTGCTTGGTAGCCCGAACTACTGTCGAGACCGGTTATACCGAAGTCAACGGGAATCGAATATCACTTCGCTATATCCGCTATTTCGTTATAACCGACTTCGGGTAACAAAGTGCAAAAGGAAATGAGAAATCGTAATCGCTTCGTTGTAGCCGCTATTTCGTTATAAGCGGCTTCGTTATTGGGCAGGAGATCGAACTATAGGGGGCGCTCTGACCCGTTTGTTTTCCCCACGCTTGGTGTTTACTCAACACAAGGCCTGTGCACATGCTGACAGGCCTTATGGGCATGGCCATGTCATCTTCTACAATAGAGCGCGGGGTGCAGTTTAATGTAAAAAATACTAACAATCGACGAAGCGACGTTAAGTGCCGGATCTATCCTCAGAGAATGCGAGCTTGACCCACTTCGGCTTTTGTGATGAGCTGGGATCGTGCATGCTGCACTGTTCATGCAGGCCGAGTGGAAACAAAAGAGCCCCTCCTCCCCTTCGCCGGAGAACACGAACTCCAGCCGAGCGCTGACGCCGCGTTCGGTTATGTCGGCCGAACGCTGCGTCATTGTATTTGTTGTCCCCATCCGTGTAGTTGTTAGGTTAACCGCTTGGGGCGTCACGGTCTGTCCTCCTCCCCAATAGCCGGTCTCGACAGTAGAAGAGATGTGAAAACCGCGAAAAAGGCAGACGCTTAAATAGGATTGCAGGGCTTTTTTAAGATCAGAGTTTTTTGGGTTTTTTTCTGAGGGGGGGGGGGGGGGTGGGTATGTGCACATCCATGCTTTGGGAAATATTTTAACTAGAAGAATACTGAAACAAATGTTTGCGCACAAAAAATTTGAACTTGTTGCTTCTTAACGTCTTCTTGTGTCGAGCACACTTTTGTTGGAAAGGAAGGCATGCTCTCAAAACTCTGCAGTCTTTCCACGGCAACGAAGAGGATCCGGGCGTGCTTGCCGTCTCCACGTCGTCTTGATCTCTTCCATCGTCGTGATTGTGAAGTGACAGTTTCACTGTCACTAGGCTTGATGTACTCATTGTCCGAGTCATTGTTGTCTCTTCGGCCTAGCAACGCTTTGCATACCTCCGAGCGTCCATAATCCAGAACGAGGACAAAAAAACAGATATTTCCCACCATAACAATTCAATTATGTCACCACCTAGCAAATGCAAGTTGTTCTAAACATGTTTGATATTGTGTTCAACAGATAACAACACATGTAACCTCCATTAGAAAAGTTTTTGCATTGAAGACTCACTTTTTTTGTCCAAAGGTCAAAATTGAGACGCATCTATAGGTGCGTTCCCCCAGGGTTCGTAGAGCTCCTTTAAATCCTTGAATACCCTTGATTTCGTTGAGCCTTTTAAGGGTCTTTAAATATCCTTGAAAGTTGAAAGGAATCTTGTATTCCTTGAAAATCCTCAAACAAATGCGTAAATGCCGTGTCGTCTGGCAACATGGCATGTCGTTTGTTCTAAATGATACAGCCAACCCAAGGCGCCCCGTGCCATCGCCATTTTTGCTTTGCGTTGACTGTGTTGAGGATCAAGTTGGTGAGCGTGAGACACTTTCAATCGAGATTGAAAGCCGAAATGCCGGATGGAAAGTGTATGTTCCAGCCGTCTTGACTGGAACGAAAAGACTATCACCAGTGGGTGGGACCAAATACGGATGACTCCTTCCGAGCGAAGTGTGCAATCTGTCGAAACGCTATCAAAACCACAATGGCCTGCTCAATATAAAGTCCTCCTTACGCCTAGCAAGGCAGAAGTATGCTGCATACTTTGGAAGAGCACAAGAAGAAAGCAGCCAGTGAGCAGAAAATTTTGAAGAGAAAAGCAGTTGAAGTGGAGCTGGAAGGAATGCATTAGAGGAAGTTGAAACTCCAGAAAACTCTGAAGTGCCTGCTCGAGTCGGCGGAATGCTTCTCGGAAGATGCTGAGGCGAAGAATGACTTGACACTTTTGGCCAAGGCCAATAGTTGTCACCGAGCAGCAAAAGAAAAGGAAACGGCTATAGCTGGCTGTAGAACGAGAAATTCTTGCCAAAAAGGAGCTTATTTCTTAACTCCTGTCAACAAAGAAATTTCTTTGAACATTCCTTGAATTTTGTCTTCTGATGCCCTTGAAATCCTTGAAAAGTCCTTGAATTGTGTATCTAAAATTCTGTACGAACCCCGGTTCCCCAGTTATTCAGAAAGCACTCAGCTGTGGCAGCCGTTGAATACTTCCTATAAGAATGGAAAGGTATTTTGTGTTTTATTTTTATTCATGGTGCTGTGTCACAATTTGGCAGTACAGTAAAACCTCGTTATAACAAAGTTGAAGGAGCGGTCGTAATTATTTCGTTATAACCATTAGTTTGCTATAGCCAATGTCCATTTCTTCCCAGTATTAGCAAGCAAGGGGAATTATGATTGCTTTGTTATATCCATTAGTTTGTTATATCCCATTTTGTTATAACGAGGTTTTACTGTATTGCTTAATTTTAATTACCATAAAATCCCATAAGAACGCTCATTTAAAATGGAGAAATAAATCTTCTCTTGCAGCCAGAGCAAAGTCATATTCCACGGTGCAATAAACTCGCGGGAATTCACTACAAACTCCCATGTCATGGGAGTTCATAGCAGTTTGTGGTAGCAGTTTGTTATTCTGCCAGCATCTGATGCCAACAGCTCTCGTGTCCTGCGTGTGGTTTGTTCCAGGTCAGAGGCTTCTTGAAAGCCTGCAGTGCAATGTGGAATTTGGCTTCAAGTCCCACTGTGGTCAGAGGATGGTGAAGGAGAGGGGCAGTGCCTACAGAAAGGCAAGTTCCCCTGCAACAGTGTGGGTGGGCATTTACGGCGCCTGTTGTGGTTCTGAGCGGGCTGTGGTTTGTTCAGGTGAAGGCGGCGTTGGACTGCGTGGTCCAGCTCCAGCAGTCTTTCCAGGAGGACTGGGAGCGGGAATTGGAAATCCTCAGGGGCACTCAGCAGCTGGAAACTTTCTACAAGGAGGTGGAAACAGTTGAGTATTAATTTCCGTGTGTTCAATCTTTAATACTCATTATATTCCATTAGTCTGTGAGAGAAAGGTTTGTGGTGGCATTTATCTGCTGATTCGGTCTTGACCAGTGGGAATATCGTTGATTTGATCCTTGCTGTCAGTTTTATTTTACGGCTTTGGTTTTACCTTCATATCGCGCTGTCTGTTTCTGTACCTTGAATGAAAGCAGCGACAGGGGCCCAGCAATTTAGAACCATACTGCTAATGAAAACATCTGGAAACAGTGAGGAGCTGTATTATTTGACAATAAGTTTGCAGCATGATCTTTGGTAGAGTAGTTTCTTACTTTGCCAAGCTGGTAACTGCAAATAACGGAAGAGAAAGGTAGAAAAATAGCATCTGACGTAAGGAGAGCCCCTGAGTGAGTGGATATTGGCTTCTTTTGCATTTTCTGGCTCGTTTAAACTTGCTTTCTTATGTGCTCTTCATTCTTATCAACCATACTTTGTGCTGCTTGCTCAGATGATCCACTGGACCAGCGTCGAGAGGGACAGGCTCTTGCAGTCTGGCACCAAATCTGACTTGGATAAAGCAAATGCAATGGCCATGGTACGTTTTCTATGTTTGTTTCTTTAGGGCGTTAGCATGCGCATAACAGTGAGCAGCGTCACACATGTCGACCACATTGTCTTTAGCATCACATGCTTTTTGACAGTCTCAAGCTTGCTCGCCTTCCCGGCATCAACTTCTCGTGGTTTCTGACTTTTCCTTGGGCATCCCGACACACGTGTTACGTAATAGAAGAATAGTACAGTGCATAACAACTGCTGGGACTGCTTGACATAGTTCGGACTCGGACGGATGCCAGATGGAAAATAAAGTGAGCGAGGAATGGTTGAATGTAGTTGGCAGAAAAAAGTTCAAAACAGCACAGCCTGGAGCATCCCGTGCAGTACCATGCACCTGTGCTGGCTGCATTGCCTATTAGGGCGACTTACGTGTCTCATCATTCAGTCGACCTTCAAAGTCCTTGAGTAAAGACACGTTGACGACACGAAAAGTATGAAAACACGTCGGCAACACGAAAGGTACGAAAACACATTGGCGACACGAAAGGTACCAAAACCCATGGTTTGCCACTGCACCACGAGATGGCATTACTTGTGCCAGAATCTCTCTTTCAAGCAGCGGTGAAGAGCGGGTGTGCGACATGTCGTGAGACTATTGGCGCTAAAAGGGCGTCGTCGGAGAGCGCGCTTTCTTTGGAGGTTCACTATTACCGGGATCAGTGCTTAAACTTTCGCCTTTAAGTCGTCTTAAAAGGGCCCTGCAAGGTCTTCTTTACTGGTTTTTAATTTGCACCGAACCTGAGTGCACTGAACGTAGTAACCTAATGGAACTTTTCCTTTTTCGAATCAAACTACAAAAACAAGCCAAAAATAACCTCCTTCATGACGTCCTTGGTTGCTTGAGTGGTTGTGAACTAGAGGAGGGGTAGCGAGCTCTGCGAGCGCTCACAACTGCCGTATTCTGTGTCCACGGCTCGAGAGGGCACCACTAAGGCATGTTCTGGCTAGGCTGTATGAAGCGGGCGGCCAGGGCGGCTCGCATTCCATTTGCTGCGCAATTACACTAATTCGGCATGACACTTCATTGGTCCCAAACAACAGCAAACACGGGGTAAAGATCAGTTCAGAATGGGAGCCACTTTGCGCTGCCATACCGCTAAAAGGCCAAACCGCAAGCCAAAGCTGCTCGCCGAAAGCCTTGGGAACGCTCGGAACCGGTCGGATCCTCCAGTCCATACGACCGCAGTGCCGCCGTGTACATCCGGAACCTTTCCGGCGTAGGCATCTGATACCACTACACCTTTCTAGTATGCGCCGCCTTTTCCACTGCTTGGTGGCGGGTACGTCGACGGGTCATTTCTTTTTTCCGTACTTTCGAAACTGCATTTGTTTCTTTTCTGATCTAAGATGTGAACAAAAACTACTTTTATAAATAATAGAAACGGTTCACACCACTAATATTTTGTATTTCGACTAAAAAGAAGCTTTTAGTGGCTCTGACCAGCAGTAAGCCCAGGATTAAAGACGTCGCATATCGCGCGCTTTTGGCACCGCGGGTTGCCCCCATAGGTGGAGGAGGTTTCCGCGTCGTCCAATTAAAATATGACACACTGATATTTGGTTGCTCTCTGCGTGCCCTCTGGCTTGCCTGAACCCTGAGGGACGTGGAAACCACAAAAAAGGTAGACGCTTCAATAAGATTGCAGGGCCCCTTTAAGGACAACATAAAAGACCCTGTGAATTTTGCTTGATGGCTTGGTTGAGAGAAAGCGACCACTGGCAGTTTGTTTTGCAAGGCATAGCGACTTCCAGTTAGAATTGTTGGTGCAAAACTGATTGGCAAGTAAAGTGAAGGGGTTTTGATGGAGGGATGATGTGTTGCATGATCAGACTGGGGCAGCTGATTTGGATTAACCTAAACATATGAATTGGCAAGTTTTCACTGTATACTAAATTTAGTAAGATCAGGCCGGCTGGATCAAAACCTATATAAGTTTCTCAATGGAGGTGCTCACTCTACCTTGATTCAGTATTCTCAGCTGTAAACTAGTTGCATTTTTTGAATTCAAAAGCTATGCTCACTGTTCGAGTCGCATCACTCAAGGTCAAAATATGCTAACTACGAAGTGCATGCTCAGCACAAATACATTCCCCATGGCATTTGTTTATAAAGTTTTCAGCTGATTGAAGAATGGGTAGAAATAAACGAGTGAGGAGCTTTAAGTTAAGTAAGCTGCTTAAAAGAATAGAATACAAAGCCATCCTGTCTGTTTATGCATTTGTTGTTCTGTAACAGTCAAACCACCCTCTGAAAGTAAAAGGGAATTATAAGTACAGTAGGCTCACAATGATTCAAAGTCGGATATTTCATACTTCTGGTTAGTTCAAACAAATATAAATATTTTGGTAGTCCTGCTATGTATTTAATGTATGTATTCATAAGCCGCTCAATTCAAACGTCATTTTCGTGCAATTTATAGGGTTTGTTCCAGCAGCCCCGCTGAATGTGCCTCTTTCCGAGCACCAGTGCGCTGCACAGAGGCAGCACCCGCGGAGCTTGCTTCCGCGGTTGTTGCTTCTCCGCAGCGCACCAGTGCTCAATGAGAAGCGCTCTCAATGGGGCTCAAGCAGTGCACACATGAGCTGTGAAAACGGGCACCTCGCAGAAATTACTACAGCAGCTTGCACGGACGCTGTGACAGGGCGGCAAGGCGTAAGTCCACGTCGCAGCGTCCGCACAAGTTGCTATGAAAACTGCCATGCGACACCCATTTTCATAGCTCATGTGTCCCCTTCTTAATAATTCACGTTGGACAACTTCTTTGCCTGATTAACAAACTTAATTTTGTTTTCCGTTGTCACATGCTCTCTAAGCGGTCCACAATAAACATTTTTGAAATATAAATAAACTTATGTCATACATTTCACAAATGTTTCTTGTGTGGCATACCTGCTTATGATCAGTAGGCCTATGTAGAGGAAATTATCAAATATCTGCTTTATTTGTGTAGCCATTCTTATGGGAAATCATAATTTTATCTAGTGTCATATTTAGATCAATTTCTGATAATTCAAACTCCTGATACCGTATTTGTACGAATATAATGCAACCATGAATATAACAAAAAAACATATTTTAATGCCCTCAAAAAAAAAAAAAAAAAAAAAGAAACGCGAGCTGAGGTTGCGTTAATATCCCACACTCGGGGTCATAGTAGAAGTGAAAAGGCAAGGGAAATAGAAGAAATATCAGTTCATGTTTTGACTGCACCCATCCTCACTGCTCAGGTCCTTCCATTTACAATCCACTTGGCCACTACGCACATAAGCAGCAGCAGGGCACCGCTTTTCCGGTAGTTCCTTTTTTTTCGGCATGAGCTCCTCTGCAGCCCACAAGCAAAGCAAGGCAGGAAGCAGAAGCACCAATGCACAAACACCAGACCACTCTGGAGCAGAAACTAAAAAGATGTGCAGGCAGAAAAAAGACTGCGAAACCCGATACACCATCACACTTCTTGTTCTGGTCCTTCCGCATAAACAAACATCTTGGGTTGCACGAAGCACAATTGTGTAAATGAGGTCGGTGGTCTTGGCTTGGCTTGTGTCGACTTGGCTTGGCCTGGCTTGGCTTGAATTGGCCGGTGCCCGCATTCCCGCATGGCACGCGTGTTGCGTTTCTGCGGGGCGCGTTGTATTAACACAAAAGCAATAAAAATGCTTTTTATGTTTTCTATTCGCCCCTTCACCTGGCCCAATAGCTAATGAATTCCCACCCACACCCCCACTGCTTTTCCCACCCGATCTTCTGCATTGAGCTGAAGGGATGGCTTTCACCTCTGGCTTTCTCCAGACTCGCGCGCCTCGTGGCTGAACTTGATTCCGAATATAATGCGAGGTGCGTTTTGGAGCACGTAATTCTAAAAAAAACTCGCACTATATTCGTGCAAATACAGTAATTCAAACAAAATTTGTGGTTTTCTGGAGTTGAACGAATGAGAGCCTACTGTACTGATGTTCTGAGAAAAGAAAGGCAATGCACAACCAACGAATGAAGAGAGAGACAAAATTGTCTCCCAAGTACTAGCAGGCCGTGCTGTCGGCACGGTTGGAATCTTTGCTTTTGCCCACCCTCTCAATCTAGTGGGGTACACTCTCTGGCGATATGAAAGACCCACTGGGAGCGCGTTGCAGAGGCGGTGGCTGAGGCGGGCGCTGCTCGCGCTTTGGGCAATTCCATATCGCTCAGTGGGGGAGGCCTCACTCGGTGCTCAGCCGCGCCAGCTGGCAAGCCGCATCGAGAAAAAATTGATATAAGCGCCCGTGATAACGAGACTTCATTCGAGCCTCCTTTACAATACTCCCAGGCGTGCCGCGTAAGAAGCGCTCTCCCGCCAAACCAAAATCAAAATCTGTTAAGCACGTCTCGGCGCGGCTGGCGCAGCCGAGCACCGAGTGAGGCCTCCCCTCCGAGCAATATGGAATTGCCCAAAGCGCGCACGGCACCCCCCTCAGCCACCGCCTCTGCCACGCGCTCCCAGTGGGTCTTTAATATTGCCAAAGAGTGTACATACAGGCTTTGCATCTGCTCAGAGGCATGCGCATGAAGTTTGCTGCTGCCCGTTTCTTGCAGGACATCTTTGCAAGATACTCGCGGCTGCGGCAGTTCTCGGCCAGCCTGTGCAAGGAGCTCCCCCGGGAGGCCGACAGCATTTGCTCCGCCATGAGTCGGCTGGACCTGGCCTGCGAAGACTTTGCGTCCCACTTCAACAGTCCCCGGGAGTGTCTGTCCCCCGTCCTGGACCAGGAACTGCAGCAGGTGATGTCCTTTTCCTGAATCTAAATGATGGTTCGCCCACTTGCGACTGCTTAGGGCTGAGTATGTTAAAAAATCTTGTGATCTTTTACGGCGACGGAACATACTGACATACTGGCACCATTACTGGGTAGCTGTGTAACAGTTGCGATTTCCAGATATTTGCTATTTTTTTGCACCTTATTCTTCTGTTTATCAACCTAAGAAAACTGTCGACAATCTTATGAACGACCATCTCTCATAAATAGTACATACATTTGTTCTCAAAAGCCTTAAGTTTATGAGGAATAATTGATTGAAAACAAAGAAAAGTTTCGGCTGCCTATGGCTTGGTTGTCTTGAGGCTGGAGAGATTGGGGTAGTGGGTTGTAGAGAGGGGGGATAGTTATGATTACGATTTTGTTACATGAAATGGTGGACCTCATATTTTTTTATGTAATGAATCGGGGAACCTAGCATTTGCTTCCGGTGCTATGCCTGTCCTTTGGGTTGAATCCAGTCTTCCAAACTCTTTGGTCTTGTAAGCCTATGGGAAACCTTTGTTCATCCTAGCAGCGCTCATTCTTGGAAAAGACCACCAAATGGTTGCTCAGAGTGTGGCTGCATCTGTGAACCTGCTTGTGTGCTCGTCATTCTTGTTCTGTAATCTACGCAGGGTGTCTAGCGACCAGGAAAACCGAAAATTGTCAGGGAAATTTTAATTACCGGGTAAAATCAGGGAATCGTCAGGGGTATTGACAAAAAGCGAGCCCAGTCAAGGAAAACGAGCTGGAAACGCCATTGAGTGCCCTTAGCAAAGACTTGAGAACTTGGGTGCAGAAAAATAGGCAATAGACAATCAATTCTGCTTAGAGTGTAGCGTGGGCTCTGCTCACCCGATGTAGAGTGTGGTACACGATGCAAAGCGAACAGCCGACAAATCCAGTCCAAGTCTTGGATTGGATTGGATTGAGGGCGCAACACTAGGCTAGATCCAGTTAGAGCTACTAGATTTAGTAACAAATGGGAAAGCCGCATACCCCACCCTAATCCAATCCCAGCCGAAAGTATCCGAAAGTGTGCATCTGGCGGCCACGTGGCCATGCTGTTATTCGGTTATTGACGTGTGTGGTCGAGTGTCGTGTTTTCATTGTGTTTCCTTTCCGGAAGTGGCCTCTTCACTGATGATTTGCTGGCAAGAAAGTGCTCGTTTAATACAGACTGGACGAACTTGAATATTTTGGAATATGCAAGTTGAATTAAGCCCGTGCAAATTGATCCTCACAGTGCTCAATGCTCAATGCCTTGTGTGGTAATGGTATTATATATCGAACTGCCTCTACAGTGGTCAGGGAATTTCACCTGAAACCGTCAGGGAAAACCTGGAAAAGTCGGGGAGTTTCAAAATAATAATTTGCTAGACACCCAGTGTATACACCAAGGGATTGTAGTTTTCTGTTTCAGATGTCAACTTCACTTTCATTGCCTCTTCACCCACATTGTCCTTGTACACATGTGCAACCTAGGCTTTAGACTCATAATCAGGTTTTCACTCTGCTCTGCGGCATTTTCGGTCAAAGAAAAGCTGAGAAAGTTTTGTAGCCGTGAAACTTAACAATTTCTATGTTGGAATTGTGTGAAGTTGCTTCCCGTTTCATCTATGCCTGTTCCTCCAATATTTTCTTTTTTCCTCTTTTTAAGGATTTGGACATTGTTGAAAGCATATACCGTGTATCTTCGTACCATATTCATGACGTGCTGTACAGTCGCGCCAAAGAAGTGTGCATATATCATGCACATCTGAGGCTCCTCATTTTACGTACGCTCTCCCGCAGCGTGTGAGCTCTGGGAAGGAGAAGCGCGCTTTCAAGCGTATTACAACGCGCACTCGCAGAGCTTGTGTTAAATCGCACGCTCGTAACTTCTCTTGTAATGAAGTGAAACGCGGCTTAACTGTGGCTCCTTTGCATTTCAAATATGCGTAAACTGATCAGCACCTACTATGAAAGCCTATGTATGCTACGTGCTGGTGTCCATGGCGTGCTGTGTGCACAAAAGATGGCAACATTTTGTGGAAATCCCACTTGTATCAAAATACGGCTATAGAAAACATGTTTTGAAATTGCACCAGCTTCATTATAACTAAGTTCAACTCTATTGTAGTATCTAAAAGGTGATCTCTGGCTGCCAATAACATTGCTTTCTATGTGACAGACCAACAACATAGAACACTAACGTCGGTGAGGGGTCTTCATCTTATAAGAATATCACCATGGGCTAATTAGTTTAAGGCGTCGTTCAATGATTTTAACATTTATAGACTCTTCAGTTTGTATGTTTTATATTATTTAAACTAGGTTTATCTGGGGAAAGAGAAACATTATTTGTCAGTCCGATTTAAAGGCGCTAATCCCATCTTTGTGTCTAAAGCCCTGCATATCCGTGGATTCTCCACGAGTCTCCGCAGATATTCGCAGTAAACAGGCGGATGCAGATAAAAATTAGACAAATTTTGGCAGATTGCGGATTGGATGCGGATATCTGCGGATCCGGATCTAAGTTTTTGTGCGGTGGCATTCAGTTACTGAATGCCACCGGGCAGTTCATCGAAAAATCTCAGACGTTTCGTCATACACAACCCTGCTATTTTCGTAACAAACTTTTTGCGTCTCGCCTTGATTGCAGGGGGCAGGGGGGCATGGTTTGGTTAGGCGCGCCTGAGTGAATCGCGCTCTAGCTTTTAGCGGCTTGGTGAAGAAATGCGTTGTCGATGAAACGTCACAGGGGCATGTGCCCACAAAACGTCCAGTGTCGACGAACCGTGCGTCCATGAAAAGTTGTCCACAATACATATTTTCACAAAACGTGTTTTGAAGAAACGCTAGGGATCCTCAGAAAGTTCTGATTCTCACTGAAGATCGCTTCAGTTAGTGCGTTCCATCTCGTCAAAAATGCTATGTTCATTCATTCATTCATTCATTTATTGATACTGTCAGCCCTTGCACAGGGCTATTACAGGGGTGGAGAAAAAAAAAGGACAATAACAAACAAACATGTACGCTTACACGCAAGCATACACAAAGGTTACAGACATATTGAGAGGCTTCGTCATTTCGGCAGTTTACGAAACGAATACAGTGATGTGATTGCTGCGCCAATTGCGCCAAACTGCGCCAAGGGGCTAACCCTGCTACATCCTGCTACATTTTGCCAAAATATGGGTAATCTGCGCCAAGCCTGCGCCAAAGGACCAACTTTGGTCGCCCTTGAAAACCGAAACTAAACTGAGTACCGTAATTGAGCACACATGAGCTAGGTGGTGCAAGCAGCCGTCCGACACTAAGTACCCTGCATCAATCGTTCATTCGGTCTTGCATGATTTTTCCCGCCGTCTCTCGTCTCGCGTCTTTTTCAAAAAAAAAAAAAAAAATACACGTGGGCGTGTGGGGATGCTCCGACGCTAGCGTGCTGGGTACCAGCCATGCCGCCATGCTGTGAAACAAAAACATGTTTTTGCGCGGCGGGGGTTACTTTATGGGCTGAAGCACTCGCTCCTGAAAGCAACAGCCGTGGCCAAACTATATTTGGTCCCTGCCTGCCGGCCACCATGGTCGCTCGGCGTCGAGTGTTGCGTACCCACGTCACTGCAGTTATGGCACTTTCTAAACTAAAACGTAAGGACTGCCACATGTTCATCAACAATCCTGTTCTGGTTTAATACGCTACACCAAACATCCCTTTAGCTCAAAGACTGCTGTGTCGAAGTTTTGATTGCCTAGGTTTCTCTCGGTAGGCTTTCTTTCGAGACGTACCCCGGTACGTGAAAAATCAGCCGCGAAAGATGTTGGTGAAGAAAAGTGAGATAAAGCAAAGAAGGCAATGTCCGCATGCTGAACCCGCACAGCGTGCTTATTTGTCTCGAGTTCAGTCGTTGCACAAAGCGCTCCAAGAACTTTTTGACCGTGGCTCGCGTTGTCTTGCATCGATGCGCTCAGGTTCTTTTTTTTTTTTTTTTGTGTGTTTAGCTTGTACCTTGCCTGCCGGCCTGGCAAGCACGTGCCGCTGGACTGTTTTTTGTTTTTTTTTCGTATGTTGGACCGTTACATTTTGCATACAATTTTGGGAATTAATTGGAGACGGAGCGGAGTGGCATGGTTTCGATCGAACAGCCATCTCCGCTCGCGCGACAATTTCGGATTGCACGGCAGTAAGGTGTTTCATCAGTTGGAGACTGCTTCCATTTATTATATTACTAGTCAACCTAATGATGTGATAATAGAGAGTTTTTGTATATCGTGTTTTCGGGTCACGCTATTTGTAGCGGGAGCTCGCGCTACCCCTTCGATGCACGCGCCAAAGCGCGCGCCTGTAGCGGTAGCGGGCCTTTGAAAATGATCTACTAAAAAACTCTGTTTACTACTAAGCTGGTAATTTTCAAATAAATTTTAATATGTGCAGTTTGGTCCCATATATAGACGCTTTACACACGCGCCAAATTACAGCCGCCATTGCTGACCTTCTGTTGTCTTACCGAGATGCCGAGCAACTGAAACGGTAGTTAACGGTCCTCTACAAAGGCCGATGCTTTCGAAAAGGACACAGTTGAATCTAATATGGCAATAACCTGGCCTGCTATGGTAATGATGGAAGTAAAATAAACGAAATAAGAGGAAACAAAAACTGAAGGCCAGTTATGGCGGTGTTCATGCACAGCTGCTGCAAAGCGTCTATTCGTATCATTTAACTGAAGCATTGAAAATGTGTTATGTCATTGGCATTTCAGTTACATGTTGAAAGACTCCCAGGTGGTCTATCTTGACAATAATTGGTTGATTGCGGCGAGCAATGCGTCCTTCGTTTGTCCACCACTTGAAATTAATATCTTTATTTTTTTTTCTAAGAATATCTGCTCCAAAGTCACTTTGCTGCTCCGAAGCACTGTTTTAGCTGCTCCAAAAGCCAGTTTTGCTGCTCCAAAACTCTGTTTTGGCTGCTCCAGAAGGTGCTCCAAAACGGCTTAGGCC